CCTTTCATATTTGGAAAAGGTGTTTTAGTGTCATATTAAGATTAAATATGTTGTTGGGCTGGAATAGGGCTGTTATGGTGACCGTATTACCGCCACACCGTGGTCACAAGTCATGATGGCAGTCAAATTCCATGTGGCTGTTTAGTCACGGTAATTAGGCTTCTCCAAGCCCTGATGATGCTGATGGTCATTAGTAGCCTACCAAACGTGCTAACTGCCTGGTACTCAGCACTCTATTTCCCCTCTAATCACTCTAACATCAATGCAAATGTAATAGAAAATCTAATCAAACACTTAATAAGAGCCCATGAGCTCATGTTGCCCAACATTTATATAGGCTATGCAATTGCGTGAGAAAACAGAGTAATGGCCTCTATTAAAAAGAGGAGGATCCCATCAGCTTTCTTTAGGCTAGGCCTACTATATTTATTTCTCAACTTTCCTAATATTAAGCACATTGCTTCTCTTTACAACAGGAGTATAGCCTACCTGGCTGGCATGAAAATTAAACACTGAAAAAGTGTCCTCCATTTAACTATTTAAGTGCATAGATGTACATGTATTGTTTTCCCGCTGCCCCTGTTTCGAGACAGGTGCATGAGAATGGTCCATTCTGAATCAAAACAAATTTCACAAATATATTATTTAGTATATATAAAACCAAGATTAAATCTTGGCATGGGTCCTCAGATCCTCAAAAGGTTCTACAGCTGCACCATCGAGAGCATCCTGATTGGTTGCATCAGTGCCTGGTATGGCAACTGCTCGGCCACCGACCGCAAGGCACTACAGAGGGTAGTGCATACGGCCCAGTACATCATTGGGGCCAAGCTTCCTGCCATCCAGGACCTCTATACCAGGCGGTGTCAGAGGAAGGCCCTAAAAATTGTCAAAGACTCCAGCCACCCTAGTCATAGACTGTTCTCTCTGCTACCGCACGGCAAGCGGTACCGGAGCGCCAAGTCTAGGTCCAAAAGGCTTAACAGTTTCTACCCCAAGCCATAAGACTCCTGAACAGCTAATCAAATGGCGACCCAGACTATTTGCATCCGGTCCTTCACCTGCATGATCATCTCAGACCAGCCACCCGGACAGCTGATGACAGTGTGGGTTTGCACAACCGAAGAATTTCTGCACAAACTGTCAGAAACCGTCTCAGGGAATTTAATCTGCCTGCTCGTCGTCCTCACCAAAGTCTTGACCTGACTGCAGTTTGTCGTCGTAGCCGTCTTCAGTGGGCAAATGCTCACCTTCGATGGCCACTGGCACGCTGGTGAAGTGTGCTCTTCACGGATGAATCCCGGTTTCAACTGTACCGGGCTGATGGCATCGTGTGGGCGAGCAGTTTGCTGATGTCAACGTTTTGAACATGGTGGCGGTGGGGTTATGGTATGGGCAGGCATATGCTACGGACAACGCACACAATTGCATTTTATCGATGGCAATTATGAATGCACAGATCCTGAGGCCCATTGTCCTGCCATTCATCCGCCACCATCGCCTCATGTTTCAGCATGATAATGCACTGTAAGGATCTGTACACAATTCCTGGAAGCTGAAAATGTCCCAGTTCTTCCATGGCCTGCATACTCACCAGACATGTCACCCATTGAGCATGTTTGGGATGCTCTGGATTGACATGTATGACAGCATGTTCCAGTTCCTGCCAATATCCAGCAACTTTGCACAGCCATTAAAGAGGAGTGGGACAACATTCCACAGGCCACAATCAACAGTATGATCAACTCTATGTGAAGGAGATATGTCGCACTGCATGAGGCAAATGGTGGTCACACCAGATACTAACTGGTTTTCTGATCCACGCCCCTACCCTTTTTAAAGGTATCTGTGACCAACAGATGCATATCTATATTCCCAGTCATGTGAAAGCCTGTCACGCCCTGGCCTATAGAACTCTAGCTAGTTTGGTCAGGGTGTGAATATATTCTAGGTTTTGTATTTCTATGTTTGGCCGGGTGTGGTTCCCAATCAGAGGCAGCTGTCGCTCGTTGTCTCTGATTGGGGATCATACTTAGGCAGCCAGTTTTCCTGCCTGCGTTGTGGGATTTTGTTATGTTCATGTTTAGGCTTGTGTGTTAGCCTTTGGACCGTCACGGTTAAGTTTGTTGTTTTGGTTACTGTTTCGTGTGTTTATTAGTTAATAAACATGTTCGCCGTTCAGCTGCACCTTGGTCTGTCCCGTTCCTTAATGTACGTGACAAAGCCATAGATTAAGGCCTAATACATTTATTTAAATTGACTGATTTCCTAATGAACTGTAACTTAGTAAAATGAAATTGAAATTGTTGCATGTTGTGTTTATATTTTTGTTCAATGTATTTATATTGTTTTTATGTATATATATTTTGTGCGTTGTGAGACAAAGCACTGCTAACGAGACTCCAAACTGGTTATAATTGCACATTGAGACAACCCCTCGTTCTCTTAACAGCATTTTTGTGGTGAATTTGTAATGATATTATTTCAAAAAAATTTCATGCTGTCAGTGGACAGATGTGGTTTTGGTGTAAAGCGCATTACCTCTCATCCTGTTAAACTGTTGTTCCAATCTATGTCATTGAAATTAATTTGTGAAACGTATGTTATGTGTATAGACAGAGACAATGTTCAACGGACATTTTTGTACTAGTGTCTAGAGTGGGTTCGCTCAGCATCCGGGGATGTTCTTTCGGAGTTGGTTTGCTCCACAGGTAGGGGTGTTCTTGTAGAACCAAGTCTACAGACACATACAGCAGGCTGGAAAAGACTGGTAGAGACGGGAGGACAGACTCACTCACTGAGTGGTTTGGTGCTTTGCTTTCCTACTAACACAGCTGTGTGTTTGGACAGCTAACAGTTACTGTCTGCCTGGCCTGTTGTATCAGAACTACAGCCTGATGGTGCGCTGACGTCATGGTCTGGGTTTGACTAGTACTGTCTGGTTTGTCACTGTTTAGTTTGACTACAACATTTACATTTTAGTCATTTAGCAGACGCTCTTATCCAGAGCGACTTACAGTTAGTGAATACATATATATTTATTTTTTTATACTGGCCCCCCGTGGGAATCGAACCCACAACTCTGGCGTTGCAAACGCCATGCTCTATCAACTGAGCTACATCCCTGCCGGCCATTCCCTCCCCTACCCTGGACGACGCTGGGCCAATTGTGCGCCGCCCATGAGTCTCCCGGTCGCGGCCGGCTGCGACAGAGCCTGGATTACAAGAATAATACATGTTAAAGATTTGTAGTGCTGAGTGATTAACCGATATGTTGGTTCGTTTTCGTTTTTTATCAACTAATTGACCTACATCAGTTCAATTATTTTAATTCCATTTCCTTCGGGGGTTTTTCTGTGAGCTCAATGCACACATTGTGTAGTTTCTCTAGAGATAAATCTGCTCAAATCCGAACTGTGCAATGTAGTAGGGAGTTGTAGTTTCCAACAGGACAAAACTCGACAGTTTAGTGCAGAAAACGTGATAATTAACTACAATAAAAAAATCAAACCGAAACCGAACACAAAGAGCACTAATCGCTCAGCACAATGAATTGGAAAATACTTCTGTTAACTTGTTCTCTCTTTCGCCAATAAAGACATTGCTATTGTACATAAACTATTTATAATATTGAATGTATTTGTTGTATTGTGGAATGTATTGTTTGTTCTTTAAAAAAAATGTTTTAAATAACTCGTTTTTTTAAACTACTTATTCTGAATGGTAATTTGAAAATGTCTTTTAAATAATCGTTTCTGTTAATTTATGTAGCCTACATTTGCAATTTTTCAACATTGTCCATAGATTAACAGAGAACATTTTAAAAAATGAATTTTGTGTATATACATTGAGGGAACACTATTCTAACAACATTTCCGTATAAAAACAGAAAATGTACTGGCAAAAAAATACCTGTATATTTTCCATTCTTTTATGGACAGTTCCTTCAAATAAATTACAGAAAATACTGTATAAACACAGTGACTGTCCATTAATAGACAGAGCTGATATTTGGATAAATATATATATTTTTTTACGGAAATTCCCTTTAATCTATTACAGGGAATGTCCGTTAAAAGAAGGAAAATATGTTTTTTAACAGATTTATCCAAATATCAGCTCCGTCTATTAATGGACAGTCACTGTGTTTATACACTATTTTCTGTAATATATTTGAAGGAACTGTCCATAAAATAATGGAACATGTAACGGTAATTTTTTGTGTTTATACAGTACTTTCAGTAATTTATTTGAAGGAACAGTCTGTAAAATAATGGAAATTGTACCGGTAATTTTTTGCCAGTACATTTTCCGTTTTTTTTTTTACATGATTTTTACAGTGTGGTTTCGGATACTTTTCAGTTGTTAGGATATTTGCTCCAAATCATGTCCATCATCGCCTTGGGTTTGGGCGCACATGGAACCTCAAATGTGCCGTGACGTTTGAGAATATGGTGAACCAAAAACACCATCACCAAAACGACAAAGACAACACACGCTATTATTCCAAGGATACCACCTGCTGTGACAGGTGGGGGGCGCTGAGTCGGATATTTGACACAATCAGATGGTTCTTTGTCAACACATTTCCATCCCTCAACCAAGTCGAATCCCTCATAGCAAGAACACATGTGACCTCCGTACGTATTTGTGCAATTATGATCGGAGTAACCCATATCACATTCATTTATGTCCAAGCAAAACGTCACCTCATTTCTTACATCAGCCATGTAGCCATCCGGACAGTTGCATTGATGTGGATTATTTGGGTCATATTCTGCAAGACACTCTTTGAAAGGACAATGAAGTTTACATTTGTTGGGGTCTTCTTTCGTTGCAATATATCCTTCAAAACAGGAGCTAATGTGTTTACGCACATATGCTCGCATAGTCCATCCCTGCACTCATCTATGTCAATACATACATAATTTATCATTTTTTTATCCGTTTTGGCAACTGCATTCAAATCCACCAATAGTGTTGACACACTCAATGTTCTGTCACCGGCACTGTCTTTCATCGTCACAATCATCAATGTCTTTGCACTCCTTCCCATTTTCTGCCAGTGCGTACCCATGGTGACACATGCAGGCGATGGAGTTGTCATTTATCTTGTAGCAAACCTGCGCGCACCCGAAATGAAGGCAGGGGTCGTTTTGCGCATCTTCACATGTACATTTATTGTAATGGATAAATTTTCCAGGTGGGCAGATGCATACAGGTTGTTGATTAATCGGTAAGCACAAATCCTCACAACCACCTTTCAGTACCTCGCAATTCCAAGGTGCTTGCATCCACTGTTCAGAGAGACAGATGTACTTGGTCTCAAGGGGGTTGAGTGTTGCAATGCTTCGCATAGGCAATACCAGGAGGACATCTCCCTCGAATCCCAATGGGGTCTCATAAGTGGTCCTCTGTAGCTCAGCTGGTAGAGCACGGCGCTTGTAACGCCAAGGTAGTGGGTTCGATCCCCGGGACCATCCATACACAAAAATGTATGCACGCATGACTGTAAGTCGCTTTGGATAAAAGCGTCTGCTAAATGGCATATTCATATTATTATTAATTAATACAGTACAGATTCGTTGCCTTTGATGTCAAAAGGTTTGCAGACACTCGGGAAATTATACTTACATAGGTGTCCATCTATTCTCCTTTTGCATGATTGTTCTGACCATTTAAATTCTTCTTTGGACATCGATAGGCATTTTAAAGAGCAGACATCGTCAACGCCTCCCCAGTTCTGAAAGTCTGTTGCATTATCTCCCGTTATCCATCTGTAGCCCCGTAAGTCAGAGGCACTGTCAGGACATTGTCCACTCGGTAACTGCAAACCAATCCAGAAATCTCCTGTAATAACAAGTAAAATCGAAATTATGTCTTGTGATACCGAAGAACTACACTGTCATTAATTGTCCATTGCTGTCCTCACAATGTTTTTGAGCCGTTGCAAAATCGTCTGGATCCTGGAAAACAGCAAAACACTGATTCCCAATGCAGTATCCGTTATGCTTGGCTTCTCACATTCTCAGCACGAATGTTAGAGTAACAAGCAACATCACTATTATGACCTTCATTTTTTTTACTCAGTTGTAACAACTTTGTATGTACAACTATTGCTTATTAGGCAATGTGTAGCTATAGTTTACCCTTCGGATAGCTCCTGCTGTTAAAAGCAGCCTTGCTCCATGTTTGCGAGCTGGTCAAGGAAAGAATTTCCTATTTTGCTGGTTGCTTAATCCCCTTCCAAAAACTTTATTTCACCCACCTCGCCGGTGCACATCACTACTAGTCTACATTTGGAATTACATCTCCCTCCCTCCCCACCTCCCCACCTCCCTGCCTTCCTCTTTCTCTCAATTCAATTCAATTTAATTTCAATTTAAGGGCTTTATTGGCATGGGAAACATATGTTTACATTGCCAAAGCAAGTGAAATAGATAATAAACAAAAGTGAAATAAACAATACAAAATTAACAATAAACATTACACTCACAAAAGTTCCAAAAATAATAAAAACATTTCAAATGTCATATTATGTTTATATACAGTGTTATAATGATGTGCAAATAGTTAAAGGACAATAAGGAAAATAAATAAACATAAATATAGGTTGTATTTACGATGGTGTTTGTTCTTCACTGATTGCCCTTTTCAAAAGTTTGGACAGACCTACTCATTCAAAAGGGTTTTTCTTTATTTTTCCTAGAATAATAGTGAAGACATCAAAACTATGAAATAACACATATGGAATCATGTAGTAACCAAAAAAGGTTTAAACAAATCAAAACATATTTTAGATTCTTCAAAGTAGCCACCCTTTGCCCTGATGACAGCTTTGCACACTCTTGGCATTCTCTCAACCAGCTTCATCTGGAATGCTTTTCCAACAGTCTTGAAGGAGTTCCCACATATGCTGGGAACTTGTTGGCTGCTTTTCCTTCACTCTGCGGTCCAACTCATCCCAAACCATCTCAATTGGGTTGAGGTCGGGTGATTGTGGAGGCCAGGTCATCTGATGCAGCACTCCATCACTCTCCTTCTTGGTCAAATAACCCTTACACAGTGTGGAGGTGTGTTTTGGGTAATTGTCCTGTTGAAAAACAAATGATAGTCCCACTAAGCGCAAACCAGATGGGATGGCGTATCGCTGCAGAATGCTGTGGTAGCCATGCTGGTTAAGTGTGCCTTGAATTCTAAATAAATCACTGACCGTGTCACCAAAAAAGCACCCCCACACCATCACACCTCCTCCTCCATGCTTCACGGTGGGAACTACACATGCAGAGATCATCCGTTCACCTACTCTGCATCTCACAAAGAAACAGCGGTTTGGAACCCAAAATCTCAAATTTGGACTCATCAGACCAAAGGACAGATTTCCACCGGTCTAATGTCCATTGCTTGTGTTTTTTGGCCCAAGCAAGTCTCTTCTTATTATTAGTGTCCTTTAGTAGTGGTTTCTTTGCAGCAATTCGACCATGAAGGCCTGATTCACGCAGTTTCCTCTGAACAGTTGATGTTGAGATGTGTCTGTTACTTGAACTCTGTGAAGCATTTATTTGGGCTGCAATTTCTGAGGCTGGTAACTCTAATGAACTTATCCTCTGCAGCAGAGGTTACTCTGGGTCGTCCTTTCGTGTGGCGGTCCTCATGAGCCAGTTTCATCATAGCGCTTGATGGTTTTTGTGACTGTACTTGAAGAAACTTTCAAAGTTCTTGAAATTTTCCGTATTGACTGATCTCCATGTCTTAAAGTAATGATGGACTGTCGTTTCTCTTTGCTTATTTGAGCTGTTCTTGTCATAATATGGACTTGGTCTTTTACCAAATAGGGCTATCTTCTGTATACCAACCCTACCTTGTCACAACACAACTGATTGGCTCAAATGCATTAAGAAGGAAAGAAATTCCACAAATGAACTTTTAACAAGGCACACCTGTTAATTGAAATGCATTCCAGTTGACTACCTCATGAAGCTGGTTGAGAGAATGCCAAGAGTGTGCAAAGCTGTCACCAAGGCAAGGGGTGGCTACTTTGAAGAATCTAAAATATAACATATATTTTGATTTGTTTAACACTTTTTTGAGTACTACATGATTCCATATGTGTCATTTCATAGTTTTGATGTCTTCACTATTATTCTACAATGTAGAAAATAGTAAAAATAAAGAAAAACCCTTGAATGAGTAGATGTGTCCAAACCTTTGACTGGTACTGTATATAAAATAAAAATAATCATTTGCCAGTTATAGGTCTACTTTGTTATTGGCTTTGGTCACTTAGACTGGTTAGAATTTTCAGTGATGAGATGCTTATGGAGCCATTACATTTGTGAAAGGCCTACTACAACTGTATGAAATAAAAACATAAAACATTCAAAACCATCAGATTTTCCTTTGCAGACGTGTAAACAAGTCATGACAATGAAAACGAAAATGACAAAATTATCCAACAACATATTGATTGTCCTATATCAACGGTCTGTCCAATGATACGTTTTGTACTTATCCCTTGTGACTTGCTGCAAATCGTGATTACCAAAATCTTGGCTTTCGAAAGCAATGTCTAAATTACCTCGACGTTTTAGTTTCAGGTGAGTAAGTACAACCATCACCAAAATAACTACGACAATGCATACCATCATTCCAAGAAGACCCCCAGCCTTTACAGTGGAAGGGCGCTCAGTTGGATCCTTGATAATTGGTGTATATGGTGTGGTAAAACCTGAACCCTCTGACGGTTCTCTCTCAACACAACCATATGAACCAACCAAGTCGAATCCCTCATCACAAGAACACAGGTAACTTCCATACGTATTTGTACAATTATGGTGGCAGTAACTCATCTCACATTCATCTATGTCAACACAATTTGACAACCCATTTTTGTCTTTGAGTATGTAACCATTTTGACAGTTGCATTGATATTCTTTACTTGGGTCACATTCTGGGGAACACTCTGCTGCTAAACAAACAAATTGGCACCGGTTGGTGTCTTCTGTCATTCTTCTGAATCCATCCCAACAGGAGCAATTGTAACTGCCTATTGTGTTCGTGCAGTCTTGCTCACATGGTCTCATGGAGCATTCATCTACATCTACACATTTGTCATTTTCAAACACATATCCCTTCTGGCATCTGCATTCAAATCCACCAATAGTATTGACACACTTAAAGTTCTGTCCCCGGCACTGTCTATCATCTATACAATCATCAATGTCTTTGCACTCCTTCCCATCTTCTGCCAGTGCATACCCATGGTGACACATGCAAGTGTAGATGTCATCTTTTTTTTGGCAGAGATGCGCGCATCCTGAGTCAAAGCAGGGGTCATTTTGCGCATCTTCACATGTGACGTTATTGTCCTGGAGAGTTTTTCCAGGTGGGCAGGTGCATACATGTTGTTGATTAACTGAGGAACAGTCATGCACACAGCCACCTTTGAATACCTCGCAACTCCATGGTGCTTGTATCCACTGTTCAGATAGACAGATATATTTCGACCCGAGGGATTTGAGCGTTGCAATGGTTCCCTGGGGTAATGTCAGTAGGTTGTCCCCTTTGAATCTCAACGGGGTCTCGTACAGAACTGATTCGTCCCCTTTTACAATTACATGTTGGCAGGGACTGTCAAGTTTATATTCACAAATAAATCCATCTACTTTACTTTCGCATGGTTGTTCCTTCCACGCAAAGTCGTATTTTGATACCGAAATACATTTTGAAGAGCAGACATCATCAAAGCGCCCCCAGTTCTGGAATTTGGTTTCATCATCTCCAGTTATCCACCTGTACCCTCGTAAAAACAATGCTTGGTCGGGGCATTGCCCGCTCGGTAAATGCAAACCAATCCAATAATCTCCTGTATGAATACCAAGTAATATTAAAAGGATGCTATGTGATATCAAAGTTCGAACTGTCATTAAATATCCGTTATTTTCTTGCTCACAATGTTTTTGAGCGGTTCCAAAGTCAGCTTGGTCCTGGAAAACGGCAAAGCACTGCTCCTCGATGCAGTATCCGACACGGGGATCCCCCTTCACTCTCAACAGGAACGTTAGAACGACGAGTATTCCTACTGTATCCCTCATTTCTTAACAATCTCCTACGCCTCAAACGCAATATAACAATTTCGCATATAATTTAGATGTAGGCTACTCGCCTCTTAGGCATGGTTTGAGTAGTAGAATGAACGTTAAGACTGCCGATAACTCCTATTTATATAAGCCTCCCTCCATGTTTTCGATTGATCAAGGAAGGAAATTCCTTTATGAATGGCGTAGTTGCTGACCAAAAACAAACAAGTTCTCTCTGAACCTGCCTATCATGCCAAATAACCAGCCACTGGGCAACAACTGGTTGAATCAACGGTGGGAATCAACGTTGTTTCCACCTAATTTCAACCCAAAAAATCAAGGTGATGAGGTTGAATCAATGTGGAAAACTAATTAGACTTGCAAAAAGTAATAATTTCACCCAACCAGTAACTAAATCTAACATGGTGATTTATTTTTACATTTCACTTTGAATTCAGTTAGTTGACAACTCAACCAAATGTTAATCAAACCTAGACATTGAACTGACACGTGCACACACACAACACACACACGAAATGTATATTTGTAGCAAGCTATAGTCCAATTATACACATATTGCAACACTTATGGGCTAGCATTTAAATAAGAAACACATTGAAATCAAATCAATGAAATCAAAAACTTAGATAACATCTTTCAGTGATATGCAGCCTAATTTGCTCAGTTCTCTCCTAGTGTTTACATGGTTCTCTCTCATGAGTATGCCTATATGGCAGACAAGATGGCACATTCTGAGCTATTTTTGTATTAATTTGAGAACCACTCTATGTCCACAAATAGACATGAGAACACCAGGACAGACACATTCTTCATGAGGTGATTTAAACACGTTTTAGGATATATTTGAACACATGAATTCGGAATAATATCTTATTATTCTTGATATTCAGGGACAACCATGATTATATTGACAATATACACTACATTGCCAAAAGTATGTGGACATGCCTTCAGATTAGTGGATTCGGCTATTTCAT